TAGTGAAGTGTCTGTCATTCATTCACTCAGTGCATTTTTATTAAGTGCCTGCTTTGCACCAAGCTGGGAATGCTGTGATGAACAAGGAGCCCTCAGTCTAGGGGGGGCCACAGACAGATAATTGGGCAATCTTACTACCATGTGCTCAGTTTTACGATTGGGTGCTTATGGGGCGGAAACCAGACTTCTCACCTTGTGTTAGGTGATCAAAGAAGGTTTCCTGGAAGAAATAATGTCCAAACAACCTCACTAATACATGTGTAAATAATCCCTTTTTAAGGCTAATATTGTCTTAGAAATCAATCAGAACGCTGTTTTGGGAACCTTTCTGTTGAGAACAAGTTGAGAAACTGAACTCTGTATTCTAGCCATCTAGTGTATTTCTCCAAGCTTGTATTTGCCCTTCTTCAGTGTTGATTCATCTCTGCTTCCAAGAACATGCCAGGTTGTGACTGCACTGCCTTTGGTACACTGTTCCTATGTCTGGAAAGCCCTCTCCTTTGGTCTGCCCAACTGATTTCTTTTGCTCTTTCAGGACACAGTTTCTTCCTCCAGGAAGCCTTCCTTTATTGCTCCTAGGGTAGGTTGGGTGCACTTCCTGTGAGCTTAGGCAAAGGGGCTGGTCTTGATTTTCATACTTCCCAGTAGTCTCTGCTGCTTCATTCCTCCATGTAGCCTGGAGAGAGAGGTAGCATCATTCATAGAGCCCAGCATGTCCTGGGCATCTAGGTAATGTTTGTTGAATGAACAAATTCAGAAGTTTTTGAAGTTTATAACCACATGTATATAATTGAAGCTCTTGGTTCTAGCGAGCTTTGAGAGTGTTATTGACTGAAGAAGGTAGAAGCACCAGTGAAACAGATTTAATGCATGTGGTCTAGTTATTACCCTCATAAAGCTCTTTACAGTCTTTTGCTTTTATACATCTTTACTTTTTTTCCCCTGAGTAACCAATAAACTGAGTAATTCATAGTTCCCACTTCTTGGCAACTACTAAGTGTATTATTAAATCTTACCACAGTGATTTATTAATTAGAACCTTTTGGTTATTAACAAAAATCAATTTGATTTAGCATATACTGGAAAGAGGGGATTAATGTGATGAAGAGACAGGGGTGGGGTCTAATAGAATCGAAGATCATAAACGCAGTCAGGCTTTGGGAAGAACTGGTCCCAAGAATCAGAAGGCCGGCAGGAATTCTGAGAGGCCTCTCTGTTTATTGCTGCTTTTGTCCACGAAGCTCTCTTATTCATTTTCTTACTAACCAGCTTTCTCTGCCTCTCAGTGGAGGATGGCTTCCCATAACCCTCAGCTTTGCCTCCCAAGTTCCAGCCATCAGAAAACCTGTCTTTCCATCTCAATTCCAAATTCCTCAAGACTCTGGTGTGGCTTACATTAGACATCTATCCCTGACCAGCCACCTGTGGCCAGGGAGTAGGGTCATGCTGAGCAAGCCTGCCTGCCCCTGCTCCGCTCACCCTGAGGGGGAGATGGGAAGGTAAGAGAAAGGGATGGGAGGACAGCAGACCGACAGACATTGTGAGGCATGCAGACACTCTAAAAATATCTAGTACCTGTAAGCACTTTGCTGTAGGTTATTTCTAGATTATTTTGGTTAAAATTTTTTTAAATCTTAGATGAAGCTTAAAGGTTTAATTTTGAAAAGATATTTGTATTTTTTCAATATGAATATAATTTGAGATTCTTAAGGGAATAGCATATCCACTGAAGCAGTCAGTGGCCTTAGCTTTGTATGGCCATGCATAATGCTTTTTATATATGATACTGTCCTAATTTGTGAGAGACAGGCTTTAGAGCATCACTAATAGGAATATGCCTTGAGATCAAGGAAGGTGACGACCCCTCCCACCAGGGACACGTTGGAGAGTCTGTCCAAACTGAGAGTGATGCGGAGTGCCAAGAGGCCTGCTGAAAAGACAAAGCGGGAGAACGGAGATGCCGACGTCAAGAAAATAAGGGCCCAAAGTCACCGGGGCTGTGACGATGTTTAGCTCAGATGTTCAAGGGGGGAAAGTAGGAAATGTAGTTTAGTGATAAGTTCTAGAACAATGTTTGCTGTAAATTTAAATGTGGATTCTGTAAATAATGCTCTCCGGGTGCTTAAGGGAAGAAAGCTTTTAAAAAATTTCTGATTCTCAATAGTTTATTCAAAACCCCCCCATGGAGTTATGAAGGGGGCACTCCTGGGTCCCCAGAAGTAACAATTTAAGACGGGTGGGGGGTGGGAGGGAAGTTTGAGCCTAGCTGTGCCCTTCAACTTTGCCAAATGCAGCCTTGAAGTCCACCTCTCCCGGTCAGCCGTTCCCGGGCCCTAGCCCTTGCATTTTAAATGCTTCTGTGCTTCTGTGTTTGTCTGTGTCCCTACCAGGACCGCAAAGGCAGGGGCTTCTGTCCTTGTGGCCTTCCCCCCATCCCCCAGGGCAGGCCCTCAGGAAGTGATAGGAAGGGATAAGTGCTTATAGGTATGTCTTCACTGTGCGGAGGCCTGTGGTCCGTGCCCTGGGGTTGGTTGTCTGCACAGGACTGGCTCGTCCGGGACTCTTGTCACTCAGGGAATGAACGCGACCCGGAGGATGGCCTGTGACCCCATCTTCAGGGCGCAGGAGTCAGACAGACATCTCGGGGCTGACTGGTGGCATGCCTTTTTCACTTGATATTTGCCTAAACTAGGACTGCGCTCATCTGAGAAGGACCCCATCCACCCTCCCATCAGCCAGGGGCTGACACCGTCTTAGCTCCTTGTGTCAGACTCCCAGATAAAACGACGGAGCCGAGCAAAGACCTGAGATTCTCACATCAGCAGAAGAGGCTAACGTCTCTGAGCTTCTGCTGGCCCTGGTCCTACCTGTGCTTTTTTCTGGCTGCACTTGTCGGCCTACTGAGTGCCCAGCACCCACCGGGGACAGAAAGCAGCTTGAGCCGTCCGAACGCAAGGCCATTTCTGACGGCAGCAGGCACCAGGGCCCTTCCCCGAGGGCCCGCGTTTTCATTGCGAGCCGGTACTTCCCAGCTGCATGTTAAGCCCAGACTTCCTTCTGTTTCAGGCCTAGACGTGCATCTAACTGTTGGCATCTCTGTTTTTATGTACCACTGTGTCCTCCTGTCCCGCTGTGTCCCCTTGTCAGGAAATAGCACATCTTTCGTCCAGTCACCTGTCTGGACTCCTCCCCATTCACCGGCCTTGCCAGGCTGACGTGAGGATGGAAGACGCGGAGGTGGCTGTCCCGAGTATGAGTGTAAGGGCCGTGACCTTGTCTGTCCCCTCCTGTCCTCTGTGTCTGGTGTGGAACTAGGTTCATATAAAAATAAACCTTTGTTAACAAACAAAGAAATATGTAACACATTCATGTAGTTGAAAGTTTGGTATTAGCCACATGAAAAAAGTAAAATGAAACAGGTGAAATTAATTTTAATAATATTTCATTTAACCCAATATATCCCAAATGTTATAATTTCATGAACATAAGGATTTATAATGAAGTATGTTTTATTCTTTTTAATCTTTGAAATCTGGTGTGTACTTTGTATTTCAGCACATCTCAATTAGGACTGGCCACAGTTCACACTACATGTGGCCAGCAGGTAGCATCCTGGACAGCGTCGTTCTAGAGATGGCTAAAGCAGTTAGTGTTCTTCCACAGGTTCTCTAAAATGTTCTTGTCAGATGCTCTGAATGCTTATGGATTCTTTCTTTTTAAAAGTATGCCTCCTCAGTGATAGTATTTTTCGCTTCTTTATTTTTATATATTCCCTAGGAGGTGGGGATTTTTCAGGGAGCCATGGAAGAGTTGCCTATTTGGAGGATTTGTTGTGCCATGTGTATTAGCAGAAAAGAACAGGAAGCTTTTAAACCAGTCCCCAGACTCTAAAGCTAGTTCCTGTTCTTCCTGTAGCTCCGATTCCTGGAATATTAAACTCCTTGGAAGCCTCATTTTGCTTATCTGTATTCCTTCCTTCCCTTCATTTCATACCCATTAGGATGGATGGGTGGTAGGGACTCCAGGGAGGGGAGGAGAGGAAGGAAGGAAGGCAGCTCTTCTGTGGCTACTTTAAAAATTCCCATCTTGCCCTGGCCAGTTTGACTCAGTGGATAGAGTGTTGGCTTGCGGACCAAAGGGTCCTGTTCGGGGCTCATGCAGGAGGCAACCATTTGATATGTTTCTCTCACATTAATGTTGCTCTCTGTCTTTCCCTCTCTTTTCCACTCTCCCTGAAAATCAATTGAAAAATATCCTCAGGTGAGGATTAACAAACAAACAACCAACAACAAAAAATTCCCATTTCCTGAGAATAATAGTATTTTTCTAAATAAGTGTATCCCATGTACTCCCCTTACAAATGGGCAGAGGGGGCCCCTGCCTTTTGCTCTATACTTTGGTGTGCCTTTATCAAATTTTTCTAAGCCTCCAATCCTACCATTCCTCCCTGCCTCAATGCTTGAAAGGCAGGGTGCCCTGAGCTCTTATCTTTTAGGAATGTCATATGAAGAATTATAGTAAATTTCCTAATTATACTGAAAATAGAAGCTTCCATTTTATTGTGCTGATTTTATTGTTCACTACTATCTATATATATAAAACCCTAAGCGACTGGTGGACCGGTCACTATGACATGCACTGACCACTAGGGGGCAGACGCTCAACGCATGAGCTGACCGATGGGTGCCAGACCCCGGGCTCACAGCTGGTGAGCACAGCTGTGTCAGTGCGAGCCTCTCCCGCCTCCGCTGCAGCGCTACCTGGGCAGCGGGACCGGGATGAGCAGGCTCCTCCCTGGCTGCCTGCTGTCTCTTGCACTACTGCATCCCCCGAGGGGTCCCGGATTGCGAGAGGGCACAGGCCAGGCTGAGGGAGCCAATGGGCCTCTAGTATATCATATTTTCCTTCTAAATTATTTTTCTCTTCATATATTTCTTTAACTAGTGTGTACATATTTAGTGTTATAATTATTAATTATCTTTCTTCTTCTATCTTTCCAGTACTGATTTGAAGCTCTTGGAGGAGGCAACTATTTCAGTCTGCAGGTCTTTAGGTAAGGTGGAGAAATGAGCATGTGTGTGTATGTATGTATGCATATATATGTATATGTATGTGTGTGTGGGTACTTATTGAAATTTTCTATTATAAATTTTGATAGTGTAATATGAATTGAATTAATGATGTTTTCTTGATGATGATAATAATAATAATAATAATTCTATTCATGGTGCTCATGGATGCTACTAGAACAGGGGTGGGCAAACTTTTTGACTCGAGGGCCACAATGGGTTCTTAAACTGGACCGGAGGGCGGGAACAAAAGCATGGATGGAGTGTTTGTGTGAACTAATATAAATTCAAAGTAAACATCATTACATAAAAGGGTACGGTCTTTTTTTTTTTTTAGTTTTATTCATTTCAAACGGCTGGATCTGGCCCGCGGGCCGTAGTTTGCCCACGGCTGTACTAGAATGTGCCATTCAGTCATTAGCAGTAAAACACATGCTTGGTTAATTTGCATTGGTGGTAATAGACCTTTAAGAGTATATTTTCTTTTAACCTGTCTTTTGTTTACTAATCTTGTCTTCTGTTGTATGTCATCTGCTATTAAATCTATCTATTGAGATGTTCAAAATAAAAATTTAATTTTAGAATAGCTTTAGATTTACAGAAAAGTTACAGAGCTATAGAGTTCCCATATAACTCTCATCAGTTTCCCTTATTGTTAACATCTTACATTAATATGGTACATTTGTCACAATCAGAAAATCACCACTGATATAGTACTATTAACTAACTCAATACTTTATTCAGATTTCACTAGTTTTCTCTTACTGTCCTTTCTCTTTTCCAGGATCTCATTCAGGATACCACAGTACATTTAGTCATCATGTCTCCTTAGCCTTCTCTGGTCTGCAGTGGTTTTTCAGATTTTTCTTACTTAGAGTTGTTTTTAAAAAAATATATTTTATTGATTTTGTACAGAGAGGAAGGGAGAGGGATAGAGAGTTAGAAACATCGATGAGAGAGAAACATCGATCAGCTGCCTCCTGCACACTCCCTACTGGGGATGTGCCCGCAACCAAGGTACATGCCCCTGACCAGCATCGAACCTGGGACCCTTCAGTCCGAAGGCCGACGCTCTATCCACTGAGCCAAACCGGTTAGGGCTTACTTAGAGTTTTGAGGAGTACTAGTAGGGTACTTTTCCAAATGTCCCTCGATTTGAGTTTGTTTGATGTTTTTCTCATGGTTACACTGGGGTGATGGGTCTGTAGGAGGAAGACCACAGAGGTGAAGTGCTGTTCTCAACACATCATATTAGGAGTAAGTGCTATCACAAGAGCTTATCTCTGATGATACTGACCTTGATTACTTGGTCAGGGTTGTGTTTGTCATTACTTCACTGTAAAGTAGTGGTTCTCAACCTTGGCTACACATTAGAATCACCTGGGAATCTTTTTAAAATCCTGATTTCTGGGGCCTCATCATTAGTAACAAAGAAACAGAATTTCCGGAAGATGAGGCCCAGAAATCAGGATTTTGAAAAGATTCCCAGGTGATTCTAATGTGCAGCCAAGGTTGAGAACCACTGTGCTAGGAGACGCTTTGAGAGCCAGGTCAGTTGTTTTATGTGAGTATCTGGGGGAGGGTGTGTGTTTTTCTTATGAAGGGGAAGGAGTTAGCTGTCCCCCTCTTCTCTTTACTCCAGTCCTTTGGTATGTAAATAAAAGCTCTTCAGGAGCCAGATACACTCTCTCCCTGCCTTGGCTTTTTAGACCTAGCGGTGTTTCCAAATTCTGGGACCTCATGTCTCTTTGAAATGTGGATACTTAGGAAGATGATACTGGAGTCTCTCCTACTCCTTTGGAGCCAGCTTAGGCGCTTATCTTGTGATGTAACTGCTTGGCTTTCTGTGAGATAAGGAAGTTTTAAACACATGGCTACAGTTCTAATCCTGATGGTATGTGAAATGATTCTGGGAGAAGTAAAAGCAGACATTCTCTCACTTCATAGCATGTATGTTTTGCTGACCCAGGAGACGAAGGCTTTTTTACAGGAACACTGAGAAATACAGGGAGGTTTTATTTCCCACAACTTTTTCAGATATTTTCTTCTCTCCTTCCATTCCTTCTGGGTCTTCTATTACTATTTCTGAGTTTTCCTTAGTTCTAGGGTATGGCCGTTAGTCAGGGATGTCAATGGAAAGTCCTAGGCCAGGGGTGAGCAACCTTTTTGTGAGTGCGTGCCAAAACCAGCAAAATCTCTGACTCAAAATTCTTCTGCGTGCCAACCCTAATTTTTTGAGAACATGTTACACCTACTTGATATCTCTTAAGGTGTACGTATGTGAAGAACCTTGAGAAATAATAAAATTCATTCGAGCGACAAAAACACAGTATATGATGATGAAAAATACATTTATTTTTTAATGTATACATGTACACTGATAGTCCGACAGAAAACTTTATGACTCCATTTGATATTATCAGTGGGACTTTTGCTGCTGCATCACTGATGACAGAGATTTTACATCAGGTTTATATTTCGTGACCTTCAGAGATATGCACGAGCTACTACTTTCATCCGTCAGGCTACTCCTATTACCAGACTTAACAAAATTCATCACTGAGAACAAAGATTCACAAGCGTATGTAGATGAAACTGAAACACTGGTCGGATCTAGGAAGGCAGGGAGAGTTAAGGCAGAGGCATAGAAATTGCTCTTCCCCTCTCTCGTCAATCCATGTCTATGGTCTTTAAGATAACTTGTTATGTAAAATTATTCATTTATCTAAGATGCACCTACACTGAATTTATCTGAAAAATAAAAAAGTCGATATTAAGAAAAAAATTGTAAATGGAAGATTATAAGAGAGGGTTTTGCGTGCCAGCAAAAGTTACTGGCATGCCATGTTTGGCACGCATGCCAGGGGTTGCCCACCCCTGTCCTAGGCAGTAACCAAGTCCCTCTGATTGGGCAGGAGTTAACTTTAAATTCTGCCTCCTCAGCACCAGGCAGCTGCTGATGTGTTTATGTTGTTTCAGCTCTCATTTGCCTGTTTCCAATGGGTTCCTTGGATTCTTTTTCCTTTGGAGTGCAGGAGTCAGTCAAGCATGACAGACAACTTCCTTGTACACAAACTTCTTTACTGTCATTTCCCTCAAAACTCTGTAGGAGTTCATCTGCTCTTTTGTGGCATCTAGTATTAACCTGAGAGGAAGTCTGAGACCTAAATTTCTTTTTGTTCCTTTGTTCATAAGACTTTTCCCCCTATAACCATTATGATTAAATGTTCCTCATTATACTTTTTTCTTTATGATTTTCCCTGTAATTTGATGAGGTCTTTTATTGGTTTATTAACAAGCATTTTTGTGAGCTTTTTCAATTCTGAAGTTTTCTGTAGTTATGGCTTTGATTTTACTTGTTTTAGTTTCTTCTCCTCCAACTTGGCATTGTCACCTGTGAGGTTCAGGTTGGATCTCTGTTCTTTGCCTTCTGCATCATCTTTTTCTTCATCTCTGTTCTTTTCTTGTAATTCCTCTTTTATATCTTTGGTTCAATGTTTATACATTACAGTTCTTGTCTTTTAAAATTCTAATGTATCTTTTAGTTGTTGTTGCATTTTTAATCAATCTAGTTTTCCTAATATGTCAGTGCTCTCTTTTCATTATACTAATTTTTCCCAGGTGCTTTCTGTTCCTTTTAAAAATAGATGGTTCATTTTCCTATTTTCCACTAATGATGGTGGTGTACCAAAGTTCTTTTTGCCAATTCTGATTCAGCTCTTCTGCTGAGGTTTCAGCATAGATCCTGTTCCTTATTTTGTTGTTACTATTGTTTTCTTCTTAGTCATTAAACCAGCAAATATTTATTGAGCACCTATAATATTATAGCTGGGTGAGTGACTGCAATAAAGACCCACCCAGGTCCTGACCTCATGAATCTGTCTTAACGGGGAAGCCAGACCATAAATAAATACATATATTTTATATAATGATGACTCTTCAGAAAAATAAAGGAGGGAGGAGGCAGAGAGTGAGAAGGCACGGCGCTTGCTGCCAGAGCGTATGTTTATTAACCCTGTTCCTGTGTGGCTTCTCGAGGTGCTTGCTGAATCTGTTGTTTTACCTTGAAGGTAGGCTGGTGCTGTGTTCTAGCCTGACTTCTAGAACATGTTTTGTACATGTTTAATTGGTTTAACTGAGACTTTCCATTGTCTCCACTCCTTGGTTTTGGAGTGTGAGCGAATCCTAAAATCCCCAAATTGAACAGCTGGATCAACATTTTTTTCCTATCTCTTCCCTCCAACATAGTTGTTTTGTGTTTGGCTTGTTTCCTGTTATTTTCTAGGAGTTGTAATCTCTGAATCTGTATAGAAAGTTATCATGTTGAAGGAGTCACATAAATTTTCTGATTGGGGTAGACAGTAAGAAGGAGACTTGTTCCTCAAAGGTACTTTCAGGCAGTTAGGCTTGCTAATGATTACCAAATACATTTGTAGTCAGGTTTATATAATTTGTAGTTAGTGGAATTGTTTCCTGTTTTTTGGAAGAACAACTGTATCCTGATTCAGCATTTTTGTGAGCTTGTATCATTTGTTCTCATGGGTATTTTATTTTTAATTATTTTACACTCATCCAAAGGTGGACAGAATAATATAATGAACTCCCATATACTCATCTTCCAGTTTCAATGATTTTCATGGCCAATTATGTTTCATTTGTACCTCACTCATTTATTGAAGTATGACGTATGTACAGAAAAGTGCACAGACAACAAACATATCCTCGTGTAATTAATTTGACAAATCTCAGACATCGTATCATTCATCTATCTTCACATATTAATTTGATACAAACCTCAGACATCATATCATTTCATCCAGAAATATTTTAGTATGTATCTCATAATAAGGATTTTTTTAAAAGAAAATAAATACCGTAATTTTATTAAAAAACAATTTTTAACATCATAAAATATTCATTGAGTGTTCAAATTTCTAATTGTCTGTTTGAATCTGGAGCAATATAAAGTCCTCACATTATTATTGGTTGATATATTTTTACGATTCTTCTCATAAGTTGTTTCTTCCTGCATTTGTCTCCTTTTCCCTCTCTCAATTTATTAAAGAAAGTGGGTGGGGATGTGAAGTACAGCATAGGGAATATAGTCAATAATATTGTAATAACTATAAGCTTGGGTGAGTGACTGGTGTCAGGTACTAAATTTATTGGTGGGACCACCTTGTAAGTTATATAATTGTCTAACCATTATACTCTACACCTGAAACTAATATAATATTGAATGTGAACTGTAATCCTATATAATAAAGGCCTAATATGCAAATAGACCAAACAGCAGGACAACTGGCAGAATGACTGGTTGCTATGACGTGCACTTACCACTAGGGGCAGACGCTCAACGCAGGAGCTGCCCCCTGGTGGTCAGTGTGCTCCCACAGGGGGAGCGCCACTCAGCCAGAAGCCAGGTTCATGGCTGGCGAGCTCAGCCAGAAGCCAGGTTCATTAGCAAGCCTCGTCTGCCTCTGTGGCAGCCCTAAGAAGCAGCAAGCCGAGCAGTGAGCAGGTGGGCGGTAAGGAGCAAGGGGTCCCGGACTGTGAGAGGGATGTCTGCCTGCCAGCTTAGACCAGCTTCCCATGGGGAGCGGGCCTAAGCCGGCAGGCGGACATCCCCTGAGGGGTCCCAGACTGCAAGAGGGCGCAGGCCAGGCTGAGGGACACCCCCCTGCCCCAGTGCATGAATTTCGTGCACTGGGCCTCCAGTTAAAAAAAGAAAAAGTAAAAAAAGAAAGTGGGTCGTAGAGTTTCCCACAATGTAGATTTTGTTGGTTGAAATGTTAATATGTTTCTGTCCTCTGTGTTTCCTCTATATTGGTTATTGGGTCTTGTGGCTCATGGGTATTTTAGTGAGATATTGGGAAAGGTTATTTCAGGGCCTGGAAGGAAGTTCAACCTCTCACTCCAGGTGGAAATCCTCTTACGTGGGTGTTACCCAGACTTTGGTTGAACTCCTGTAGCGATGGAGAATTCCCTTCTTTATACAAAAGGCCAAGTTAGTTAATATATTTCTACAAGTTTAAGCTCCAGAGTCAGATGAGTTATTGTGCTTAAGTACTATGATCCTAGTTTCACAGGTGAGGAAACTGAGGTGTGGGGAGGTTAAGTAAGTTGCCAAGTGTCACACAGCTAATCATGGGGGAGCTGGGTTTGAACCTGGTCAGATCTGTAGTCTAGTTCCATTATGCTTTTCTGCCTTCCTGTCAGATGTCCCTGTTCCTACCCTGGTTCCTGAAGTTCATTTAACTTTAACATAGTGTTTGATTTTTACCAACTAGGTTTGATCCTGTTAAAGTCCATTGAGGTATTTTGGAATATTACACCTGTTGTTGAAACATCACTGAGTGTACTTACTTTTATTAATTTATTGCCCCGTTTGCATCTTGCCCAGAAGAGTACTGTGGAAACTTAACCATCTTAGAATGTCAGCTTTATTAAGACAAGGAGCCCAACCAGCATGGCTCAGTGGTTGAGCGTCGCCCTAGGAACCAGGAAGTCACTGTTTGATTCCCGGTCAGGGCACATGGAGGTCATGGTTTGATTCCTGGTCAGGGCACATGCCCGGGTTGCAGGCTCGATCCCCAGTGTGGGGCATGCAGGAGGCAACCAATCAATGATTCTCTCTCATCATTGATGTTTCTATCTCTCTCTCCCTCTTCCTTCCTCTCTGAAATCAATAAAATAAAAAAATACAGGGAATTCTGTTTATAAGTATTTTCTTATACCTGAAACAGTGCTGAGTACATATAAGGAGCTCAATAAATACATGCCAAATGATTGAAAAAGGTACACAGAGTTTTCATTACATCAGTCTAGTAGTTTGGTTGTTCTTTCCAATAGACAGGTTTGTTTTTTAATAGCTGGCTATTTATAAATTAAAACAGTTATAAAGTAATTCAGTAATAAAGGGGCTGTTGAATAAACAAGATTGTAAAGTTGGGATTCTGAATTATATCAGCTTCAACTTTTGTTTCAGTATTTTGTTTTGGTTTACAATAGCTAGATAATATTAATTTACACAAAGATGCACTTGCAAACAGTAACTTTTTTAAAAAAAAAAAAGAACAAAACACAGTTTATCCTGAAATCTTATGATATTCTTTCATTAAACTAAACCTAACGATTGAAGATAGGAAATTTGTGTTTCAAAGAGAAACTGTAACAATATCTAATGCCTAATATCTAATCATGCACCTATTCTTGATTATGAAAGCTGGGCCAAACCTGCCCTAATTTACAGCACACAGCGTGGGGGTTCTCCAACCAGCAGCAGGAAGGCTGTTAGCGATGCAGAGTCTCAGGTCGCACTTGATATGGGCAGAGTCAGAATTTAAACTTTAAATGTGATTTAAATGTACATTAACCTTTGAAAAGCACTGCCAACTTTAGTAGGTGGAGGGTGGACCTGAGATTCTGCACTTCCAACAGCTCCCAGACAATGCTGTTGCCACTAGTCCATGAGCCACACGTGGAACAGCAAGGTACTGCAACTTCTGTCATAATGAGAAAGTTACACAGTTACATGCATTGACTCTCAGGCTGTGGCAAGAACATATACCTGGTAGGTAGACCGAGTTAACTTGCCAGTTATGGGTACAGAGCAGGTATGCTGTAATGCTGTGCTTATTTCCATATACACTTTAAAAAGTATGTATGTGCAGACCTGGATAAAAAATTCTGGAGAACTACATCTTTTTATATCTTTGACACAGAAGTTTAGATATTATGCATAGAAATGGCAGCAAACGCATAATTCTCAGATCTGCATAAAAATGAATTCTCCTGGCAGCACAAGCCAATGTGTGTGTTTGCATTTCTGGTTTTCAAAATAGTTAAAAATGTATTTCAAAAGTGAAAAAAAAAATACCCCAGAACTCTGGAATCTCACAGTTTGAAAACTATTGGTAAAGTGAAAAGACTGGGCATTTTTCACTAACATATTGTTGACTTTGGGCCCAACATATAGCCTTTCTGGATTTCTTTTTCTTCCATCAGTAAAAGTTAAGGTTCTGACTAAATAGTCTCTCCCTTAAGATGAATTCTTTTAAAAAAAACACACATTTTTATTGGTTTCAGAAAGGAAGGGAGAGGGAGAGATAGATAGAAACATCAATGATGAGAGAGAATCATTGATTGGCTACCTCCTGCACGCCCCACACTGGATATCGAGCCCACAAACCAGGCATGTGCCCTGACTGGGAATTGAACCGTGGCCTCCTGGTTCGTAGGTCGACGCTCAACCACTGAGCCACGAAGGCCGGGCTAAGATGAATTTTGAGAAACAGAATCCATAGAGTGGATGGATATATATAGAGTGTCCCCCCAAAATGTATGCACACATTTTGAATAATGATAAAGGCAGCGTTTATTAAAATACATTTCATTTTAAAATTGAGCTGTCAGCTGAAATATGTATACACTAGAGGCCCGGTGCATGACATTCGTGCACTCGGGGTGGGGGGAGGGTCCCTTAGCCCGGCCTGTGCCCTTTAGCAGTCTGGGAGTCCTTGGGGGATGTCCAACTGACAGCTTAGGCTTAAGCTGTCAGTTTGACATCCTTAGTGCTGCCGTGGAGGCGGGAGAGGCTTCCGCCACCGCTGCTGTGATCTCCAGCCGTCAGCCTGGCTTGTGGCGGAGTGGTGCTCCCCCTGTGGGAGCACACTGACCACCAGGGGGCAGCTCCTGCGTTGGGTGTCTGCCCCCTGGTGGTCAGTGCGTGTCATAGCAACTGGCCGTTCCACCATTTGGTGAATTTGTATATTACCCTTTTGATTTTATAAGTGTTATGATACACTCACTTTGCTTTTAGTTCTTAATTTTAACTTTTTAAAATCTTTCTTTCTCTTGCAGTTGAAAACAATCCTCGAACAGGAAACCTTGGTGCATTGATTAAGGTCTTCCTTTCTAGAACCAAAGAACTAAAACTTTCAGCAGAATGTCGGAAGTAAGTTTGCTGATTAGCTATGTTCTTTTCATATTTAACAAGGAGTATTTTTCATCTATTAGAAATTGATTATGGTCTTTTAAGACCTATTAAAGGAATTGTACTTACTATTAAGGAAAAAAAGTACAAGAGAGGTTTTAATTTGCTGTCCAAGTCACTGGGGGGGAGATGATACATTCTGGAATCTGCTTTCAGCATTTTAGATCATCTTTAGAAATATATTATTTAAATAGATTAATAGTGATGTGATTATTACTAAAAAGGGCATTATTCCCCATTATTACTGTTGGACATATGACTTAATTTGAGTATTATTTCATTCCACATCTGTTTCCTTAATTTCTTTCATTAGATGAAAGAAGATTCAGATTAGGTATTATAGTTCTATATTAGATACAATGGAAAGTTAACCTTTTATGTGCTCAAGCATTTTTTAAAAAAATATTTTATTGATTTTTTACAGAGAGGAAGGGAGAGGGATAGAGAGTTAGAAACATCGATGAGAGAGAAACATCGATCAGCTGCCTCCTGCACACCTCCCACTGGGGATGTGCCCGCAACCAAGGTATGTGCCCTTGACTGGAATCGAACCCGGGACCCCTCAGTCTGCAGGCCGACGCTCTATCCACTGAGCCAAACCAATCAGGGCTGCTCAAGCATTTTTTAACACCATTTTTTTCTGGTTAGCGCGCTCTCTCTCTCTCTCTCTCTCTATATATATATATATATATATTTAAATTGATTTCACAAAGGAAGGAAGAGGGAGAGAGAGAGAGAGAGATAGAAACATCAATGATGAGAGAGAATCATTGATCGGCTGCCTCCTGCAAGTCCCCCACTGGGGATCGAGCCCACAGGGAGGACACGTGCCCTTGACTGGAATTGAACCCAGGACGCTTCAGTTCGTAGGCCAATGCTCTATCCACTGAGGAAAACAGGCCAGGGCATCTGGTTAGCTCTTAAAAGATTGTTCATTGCCCAGCTCCCAAGCAAATTATATTGAATCCAACAAAAGTTTTTCTTGTGAGTTCATGGTTATTAATACAAAGAGCAAATATTGTACTGTGATTATAGGTGATACTCCATTTAAAAATTTGGTTGTGTATTTGCATATATTTTCCTTACGGTACTATGTATTTTTAATTATTTTAGCTTTCTTTTCTTTGAATTGCCTGTGTGTGGGACAGCTATAAAGTTAAGAACAAAGAGCAATCGTGCCCTAGCTGGTTTGACTCAGTGGATAGAGCTTCGGACTGTGGATTGAAGGGTCCCAGGTTCGATTCTGGTCAAGGGCACATGCCTGGGTTGCGGGCTCGGGCCCCAGTTTGGGGACGTGCAGGAGGCAGCCAATCAATGATTCTCTCTCATCATTGATGTTTCTGTCTCTCTTTCCCTCTCCCTTCCTCTCTGAAATCAATAAAAATATATTAAAAAAAAAAGAGCAGTCATGCCTAAAGGATAATATTTTTTATTATGTTCACTTACTATGTAAAATACATAGAATGAACTGTGAAGTAAACTGTAATAGATTTCACTGCTTCAGTGTCATAAGTCATGAGCCATTAAAAGATATGGACATGATTCTAATATTACAAATACAGTGGGAAAAACGATTGATCAATCATGAAGAAATCATTGACTAGAGATAAACTGATTGTGCTCATGAATAAATATTGATTCTTATGTGACCTTGGTCTTTCTTTTCTAGTCACATCTTCATTTGGCAGACAAACAATGCTTTGTTTATTATTTGCTATTTGCTGAAAGTGTTCATCTGTGAGATGTCAGAAGAGGAATTACAACTTCATTTTACTTATGAAGAAAAATCTGGCAGTTACAGTAAGTATTGCCTTTGAAGATGTTCTGGGAATCACATGTGTAGCAACATATAAGCACAAAATTTGAGGAATAAAATTAAAATTTTGAAAATTCCATTGTTCCTCTCATAATTTTTATTTTTAAATAACCTGACACTGTCACTCTTTCTTCCCCTATATTAATTTAAAAGAACGAAGACTCTCATTGTTTTTTTCCTTTTTTTAGAATAAGGCAGCCAGTAAGATTGAGACTTTTATTTATTTTGATCTCATGGATATGAAACATAAAAATAAAAATCAGGTATTTCTTTCAGAAAACAGATGTCAGTTTAAGTACCATTACCAGGGCAATGCATTATTGAGACAACCGGTCAGAAGATTTTGTGAGTATTAAGGGTTACTTTCATAGATACAACAGCAGTCTCTGAGTCTGGATGTCTTTGGGATTATTTGATCAGAAATAACATTTTCAAGGACAGTTTTATGATGCTGATGTATGTCATCTTTTTCTGCAGATACAGGAAAAGGTTACTATTTTCTCTTGATATTGCTGACAGGTTTCTTTTTTTGCCTGTAGTTTTTAAGATCAGCTGCTTGCATTTCCTTCCTTAGCATTAAAAGTAACAACCTGGAAAGTAAAAGGGGAGAATGGCATTGTTAAGAAATGAAATATGGGGAATGCAGTGTTTTGCATCTAACCTTCATGCTGTCTCCTCTCTTTCTGAGGCCAACGGCAGTGTTGGTCTTGCATTTCTGGGGTTTATTTCTAAAAACTCACTGTTGCCTGCATTAGGTGTTCTTGCTTACCTAGAGCTTTTACATTGATTTTGAGTTTTAAGACATGAATATGTTTAATTTCCTACTTTGATAATCAGCCTTCCAAGTTTGTTAACTATATACTACTAGAGGCCCGGTGCACGAATTCCTGCATGGGTGGGGTCCCTTGGGGTGGCCTGCGGAGATCGGGCCCAGCTCGCGCCCCCAACCTTGCAGCCCCAGCTTTCGCCCCCAGTCTCACAGCCCTGTAGCCCCGCCTGGCATCCTGCCTTGGCCTGGAGCCGCCCACTCACCTGCTCCACCATCCCGCTGTGGTCCTGCTCTCATCGGGGCCCATTGGGGCCAGCAACACCTCCACTGCCGCCTGCGGCCAGCGCTGCTTTCCCAATGCCTGCCATATTCCGCGCCACCTCCTGGTGGTCAGCGCATGTCATAGCAAGTGGTCAAACTCCCGGTTGAACGACCGCCCAAGGGGACAATTTGCATATTAGGCTTTTATTATATAGAATGTTTAAAAAATTAGAGCTTTTAATCGAATTGTGGCTTGCTAGTTTTGTTAGTTTTGTTAATGCTAGGCATTGTCTTTGTGGGACCAACAGTGCCAAAACATCGTTCGCTTTGGGAGTTGCAAACCTTTGCAGGAAGTGTTAGCAGTAAGAGTGGAGTGAATGTTTATCCCCAGAGAGCCTAAGAAGATAGTCCAACCAGCACCTATAACCTTAACACTTGTTTGCATTATGTCATAAAATTGTGTATATTTTATACTTTTATTTAACCACAATATCACTTATCATATATAATAAAAGCCTAATTTGCAAATCAACCAAATGGCAGAACAACCGGTTGCTATGATGCACACTGACCACCAGAGGGCAGGCACTCAATGCAGGAGCTGCCCCCAGCCCACAGGCCCCGACCAGCGGTGACGGGGGTCGGGACCAGCGAGCAGGCAGTGCCAGGCCAGCCAAGGCAGGGTGCCAGCGGGGGCCCCCCGTTTGCCCCGCCAGTTGCCCCGCAGAGGGAGGTAACCAGTGGTGGCAGTGGGGGGCAGGCCAGCGAGCAGGTGGTGCCAGACCAGCCAAGGCGGGTGCCAGTGGGGGGCCCTTGATCGCCCTGCTGGTTGCCCCACAGATCAGCCCTGATCACCGGCCAGGCCTAGGGACCCTACCCATGCACGAATTTCATTCACCTGGCCTCTAGTCTATATATATAAAAGCCTAAGCGACTGTTACAACCGGTTGACTGAACGACTGGTCACTATGATGCGCACTGACCACCAGGGGGCAGATGCTCAAAGCAGGTGGTCAGTGCACTCCCACGGCTAACCTCCCGCGGTCCCTTGCCCTGATTGGCCCCGATCGCTGGCCAGGCCGAGGGACCCCACCCGTGCACGAATCCGGGCCTCTAGTGTACATATGAAATTATTTTTCATTACGTAACATTGAGTAAATTGATGCATTTGAGAGATACACTGTGTTTGTTTTGGGGCCAAATGCCTTCCTGGAGTACCCTCTCTGTACTTGCACTCCCTGCTCATCTTCAAGTTGGAGAAGCATGTGTCTACCTTAGGCCACAGTCTGGGTGGCCTAAGGTAGACACAGTGTAAAAATGACACTTTTCCAGCCATGGCCACATTGTCAAAATGGTTGTGTCATTGAAAGAGACGTCTGTGAGGTCTGATGATTGGTGATTCTGTCTGTGCTGACAGACTGTCCTCTCTTATACAGTTAGCAATTCAGACTTTTACTAGTATGCATGCTCTTTTAATTTTGTTCTTTTTAATTACAGTTGAGTTTCCTGTTGGTCCACCAGTTAAGTCTAGTAAATATCTTTTTAAGGTTGAAGACCTGCTGTTTTTGACATAATGTAATTATTTTCATCTTAGCCTTACATGTTGTTAGTTTGAGACTTCTTATCACATAATAAAGTCTTTATATTTTTTGCCAATGTCTTTTTACAGTTTATGAAAGTGTGATGCAGTTAAATGATTGCACAGATACTGTTGAGTTGGAAAATATGGAACCTTACTATGCAGTAGCTGAAAACATCCATTTATCAGTGAATATCTGAATTAGGTGTGTGAAGGAATGTTCAGGGATAGATAATATACAGTAGTACAGGTTGTTTGAAGGGTGAAATGAGAGAAGTAGAGAACCATCTGCAAACAATTGAGCAAAGTTGAGAATAAACAACTATTCTCAATTGAGAGACTGAAGATAGAAGCAAAAAAAAAAGGGCGGGGAGGAGATAAGGTGAAAGGAAGGTCCAAAGAGGAGGCCAGTGGGGTCAGTAGCGCAGGGAGAGAGCACAGGTTTGCATTGCGAGAGCTTACTGCGGGGAAGACAGGCAGGTCATTTGCTGAGAGCTGGGAGAGCAGGGTACGTGGGCCTGAGAAGCGTAGTTACCTGTTAGCACAGCTTTGTGGAGAGAAGAGAGACTAGGGACTTGTCAAGTCCGGGGAAAAGGCTTGCTTAACTACATTTCATTGGCGTAAAAGAGTTCCAGATAAATTTATTTCAAAAAATTATTTATTTTGTGGGGCTTGCTCTCAAGCATAGTGAATTCAACATACTTTTTATTTTTGCTTTCTCCTGAAACCCCAATAAAATCAGTAAGGTACTTTTAAAAAGTCATGTACTCATTACTTGGTTTAAGAGGAGGGAAGGGGGATACAATGTGAATAACATTTTGCAAGTTGAACCTAACTGATCAGTGAAAACTGAAAGCTAAATGCCTTCGGGGTTGGAGAACTCTAGAAAAAGCCAGTTCTTGCCTCAGAACCCCGGAAAAGCTTAGGAGCTGGAAGTGCCAGGTGTGTTCAAAGGCAGACAATGATATTTTTAGAAAAGAGGAAGTCCATTTGCTTATTTTTAATTTATGATGAATATTTACAGGCATATTTGAATTTGCTAATTAGAAGTTTAAATATGATTTTTAATATAGAATAGCAATTCCAATATTAGCTTCACAATGGTTTTCTGAATATATTTATAGTAAATGTAATCTAGCCATGTGTCTTCCATTTTTGCTCTAAATTTTTCAGGCAGACTACCAGGTATTCACCTGTTTTTGGAATATAGCTCTGTTACTTCTTTTTCTTTCTTTTTTTAATTAAATCTTTATTGTTCAGATTATTACAGTTGTTCCTCTTTTTTCCCCCCATAGCTCCCCTCCACCCGGTTCCCACCCCACCCTCTGCCCTTACCCTCCTCCTCCACTGTCCTCATCCACAGGTGTACGATTTTTTTTCAGTCTCTTCCCGCACCCCCCACACCCCTTTCCCCCTGAGAATTGTCAGTCCACACCCTTTCTATGCCCCTGATTCTATTATATTCACCAGTTTATTCTGTTCATCAGATTATTTACTCACTTGATTTTTAGATTCACTTGTTGATAGATATGTATTTGTTGTTCATAATTTTTATCTTTACCTTTTTCTTCTTCTTCCTCTTCTTAAAGGATACCTTTCAGCATTTCATATAAT